GCAGTTGACCCCCATTGAGCGCTATGCCATGAAATTTCTGGAAGCTTCATTGGAAGAGGTGAGCCGAGAGGAGCTCAAGCAGGCAGAAGTGAGTAGTTTTGGCAGGTAGAGCTGGCAGTGGAAAGCTGCAAACTTCTACTAATTCTCTGCCCTGTTTTCCTCCTTCTGACCACCTTTGTGTGCTTTTCTTGGTAGGAGCAAGTGGAAGCTGCCCGCAAAGACCTTGACCAAGCTAAGGAGGAGGTGTTCCGCCTACCCCAAGAGGAGGAGGAGGGGCCAGGGGCTGGGGATGAAATTTCCTGTGGGACTGGTGGAGGTAGCCACCGGCGTAGTAAGAAGGCCAAGGCCCCTGAGAGGCCAGGAACTCGTGTCAGTGAGCGTCTTCGTGGAGCCCGGGCTGAAACTCAAGGGGCAAACCACACTCCTGTCACATCTACCCATCATGCCCGCAACACCACCACGCCCCCCCGCTGCAGCCCAGCCAGGGAGCGAGTTCTTAGGCCGGCACCTAGGCCTCGACCCACTCCAGCTTCAGCTCCTGCTCCTGTCCCTGTCCCAGTCTCTGTCCCAATACCCATTTCAGCCCCAAATCCAATAACCATTCTTCCTGTCCATATCTTGCCTTCTCCCTCTCCACCCTCTTTGCACATTCCTCCTTCTTGTTCCTCTCCTGCCTGTACCCCGCCTCCTGCCTGTACCCCTCCACCAGCTCATACCCCACCACCAGCCCAAACCTCTCTCTTAATTCCTTCCTCTCCTCTCTTGCTTGGTCCACCTCCTATGCTTGTCTCTCCTTCGGTCACCAACCTGTCCTTGGGTTTAGAACCTGAGGCAGAACTGTGTGTACAGGCATTGGCATCTACAGAGTCTGTGGAGCCATCTGGCAAGGCCAGTTCTGAGACCTCTTCACTTACTCTTATGCCGACTAAGGATCTGTTGCCAGTTGCTGTTGAGATCCTACCTGTATCAGAGAAGAATATTTCATTTGCCCCTTCTGCACCTAGCCCAACCCTGGAGGATGGCAGTGTCCCCAATGGTCAAGAGCAGGAGATAGCTACAGATTCTACTGAGGGGACCATCCTCACAGTGTCATCTGAAAGTGAGGAGCTGCCCACATGTGTGAGTGAGAGCAATGGGCTGGAGCTCCAATCCTCAGTAGCATCTGATGAGCCATTTCAGGAGTCATTGGAAGCTGACAGGAACTCAGAAGAGCTGGTGGAAGCCCCGACCCCAATCTCTAGCCCAGAGAAGCCACAGGAACTTGTTACAGCTGAGGTCACAGCCCCATCAACCTCATCTTCCACCACTTCTTCACCTGAGGGTCCTTCACCTGCCAGACCCCCTCGGCGTCGCACCAGTGCTGATGTAGAAATTAGGGGTCAGGGTGCTGGTCGACCAGGGCAACCTCCAGGCCCCAAAGTGCTTCGCAAGCTGCCCGGACGGCTAGTAACTGTGGTAGAAGAAAAGGAACTAGTGCGGCGACGGCGACAACAACGGGGAAATGCCAACACCCTGATGCCTGGGGTCTCTGAGACTAGTGCCAGCCCAGGAAGCCCATCTACCCGCAGCATGTCAGGGCCAGAATCTTCACCTCCCACCAGTGGACTATGTGAAGCTATGCCCCCATGCACACTGCCCACTCCAACCCAGCAGCCCTTCATAGCACGTCATTGCATTGGGCTGGGGGTGACTGGTGGGAGCAGCTCAGAGAACGGAGAAGGGACACTGCTTGCCATCACCCCACCTGCTGTGAAGCGTCGGAGGGGGAGGCCCCCCAAGAAGACTAGGTCTCCAGCAGATGCTGGGAGAGGTGTGGATGAGACACCCTCATCCATCTCTAAGGGAAAAACCAATGGGGCTGACCCAGTCCCTGGGGCTGAAACCCTAATTATTGCAGAGCCTGTCCTGGGACCCCAGCTAATTTCTGGGTCCCAGTCTCTTGGATCCCAGGCAGTTCACAGACCTGAGTCCATCATCCTGTCACCTGTGGAGAAAAGAAGGCGAGGGCGACCCCCTAAGGCACGAGATTTGTCCATCCCTGGGACCATTTCCTCTCCAGGGGATGGCAACTTAGAGAGTCGGACACAGCAACTCCCATTACCACCACCCCTTCCACCACTTCCACCACTGCTAGCCTGTCCCACTGCTACTGTTACCAACACTGTCACCACTGTCACCATTTCAACATCCCCACCCAAGCGGAAGAGGGGCCGACCTCCCAAGAATCCACCATCACCTCGGCCCAGCCACCTTCCTGTCTTGGACCGTGACAGCACTTCTGTCCTCGAGAGCTGTGGATTAGGGAGGCGGCGGCAACCCCAGGGCCAGGGGGAGAGTGAGGATAGTTCCTCTGACGAGGATGGAAGCCGCCCCCTCACCCGCCTGGCCCGCCTACGACTTGAAGCTGAGGGAATGAGAGGACGAAAGAGTGAAGGGTCCATGGTGGTGGCTGTAATACAGGATGACCTGGATTTAGTAGATAGTGGGCCAGGCGGGTTGGAATTGACACCTCCTGTGGTCTCGTTAGCCCCAAAACTGCGCTCGACCCGGCTGCGTCCAGGGTCTCTAGTCCCCCCACTAGAGACTGAGAAGGTGCCTCGCAAACGGGCAGGGACCCCAGTTGGTGGGGGTCCTGGGCTGGCAAAGCGGGGCTGCCTACAGCCCCCAAGTTCCCTGGGACCTGAGGGTTCAGTAGAAGAGTCTGAGGCTGAAGCCTCAGGGGAGGAGGAAGAAGGGGACGGGACCCCACGGCGACGGCCTGGCCCCCGCAGGCTTGGGACCACCAACCAAGGGGACCAGCGCATTCTGCGCAGCAGCACCCTTCCCCACCTGCCTGGCCCTATCATTAGTCACAGAGGCCGCAAGGCCAAGACGTGAGTGGTTGCCCCTCCACCTAGGCTTTCCACCATGGTTGCTCTCCCTCCATGACCAGGCCTGACTCTGTTAACCACTACTTGAAGTCTTTGAAGGGGGAAAGCCTCCAGGGAGACATAGGGGTCTTCTCCCTTCTTTCCACCAAAGTAGGGGGTAGGCAACTGGTTGTCATGGAAACGGGGCTTATCACAATCCCCCTTCCTTTCCACCCCATGTGGCTGGGCAGTGTTAAGGGTGGCAAGATAGTCTTTGTCCCCACCCCCTTGTACTTGATTCCTCAGCTATCTTTCACAGCCCCCCACCTTTAGGGGAAGGGGGAGGGGCTTCTCTTCAATGAGGTTTTTTCTTTTTTTTTTTCTTTTTTTTTTTTTTTTAAAGAAGAAAAAATAATAAACTTAGTTTCTGTACGAGCATCCGCGTAAGGAGGCTTCTGATTTTCTGGTCTGGTGGAGGGTTGGGTGGGAACTTGGGCATCATTTTCCTCCTCTCTCTTGATCTTGCAAAGACCCTAGTACCTGATTTCTAACCTGGGATTATATACCTTTAAGGCAAAAATCTCTACCCAAGAAGAGGGAGGTCTGGCAAATCTGATTTCCTAGTAGGGTACCTTTCCCTAGTTTCAGTTTTAAGTCACTCAGACATACTTTCCCTCTCCCTCTCTTTTATTCCCTTGGTTCCTAGACTTTCCCTTAGAGCTCTCTGATGCTTCAGACTTTTCCCTTTTATCCCTCTTGCTCAGGTGCTTCCTTTCACTCTTTCCAGAAGGCAGGCATCCTACCTCCAGTTGCTCCATCCCTTGGCCCTCCCCTGCTCTCCATCTAGCCAAACTGGTTTGAGTCAGCCACACCTCCCTTCCTAGCTCCTGGGGCTCTTCAGGTGGCTGGCCACCCAACCCCACCCCTGGGCTTGGCTTGGAGCCCTGAGTCAGCTACATCACCACCCAAGCTAAATCAAACCTGAGGCAGGAGCCGAAACTCACAGTTCCTCAAGGTCTATAGCCAGGTAAGAGGCCCTGTTCATTTTTACAATTTCTGATCCAACTCCCTGTACCCTCTCCTTATGTTATCGCCTTGCTAACTTTATGTCTGTGTTTCCTCATCTAAGTTATTTTCTCATATCTACTTACCTGCAGCTTTTTGGCGTACATCATTCTTTGCTTGTCTTTCCCCTTTCACCCTTTCTATCCTTTGTTAATGTGTGTTCAGGGAACCACAAGTGGTTGAATTTTGTCTAGGTTGTAGGGGAATGGTTGGAAATGAGGGTGTAAAGGTGGTTTGATGCTAGAGGTTAGAGGACCTGAGAAATGGGGAGATGAGAAGTAGGGCATCATTATTTAGGTTTTGTGTGGGTAATGAGGTCATTTGGACTCAATGTGTTGTTACTCTAATTCTGTTGTGTGGCCTGGATTAAAAGGAAGAAAGGCAATAGGGAGGTAGCATAGCAAAGGAAGCCCCAGTCTGGGGAAGTAAAGTCTGTCTGATGTTCAGTTTCAACTGTAAAGAAGAGCACTTTTTCCTTTCTTTCCTCCATCCCCAGAACTGTGTTTTTATGTGAAATGATGGCTCCTCTGCTTGAAGTGGGCCAAGAGCTCTGTTCTTTGATCCCTCAATACACATGGGGCAGCATCTGGGGAATTTAAGGGAATTTTAGGACCCTTTGAAATGCAAGTTAAAATCACTTAGTCTCAGATTCATGGCAGTTTTTATGTCTCCTTGGTGTCCACTTGTCCTTTTCTTCCTTCCCATTTGTCAGAACAGTAAATGATACAGATAATGCTATGTTCACACTGGCTTTCTTTCAAAGACTCAGAACCTTAAGTCCAGGCAAAAGACATCTAGCTACACAGTTCCTCTCCTGGTCTGTGAGTCATTAGAGGAATTCCCCAGTAAGGCAGCATTCCAAAGAGTTGGGCTAGGCAAGGAGGACAGAGGGGGTGGAGTTTGAGCAAGCCAGGCCAAGGGCTCAGTTGTTGAGCTTATGAGTACCCTGTGTCACCCACAGGTCATGGAGGACGAGGAGAAGGCAGTGGAGACCTTGGTGGGGAACTTGGAAGCTGCTCATTCCCCATTCCCCATCCGCTGCTGCTGGCTCCGCCTCCGCTACTTGGCAGCTACTAGCATTATTTGTGGCTGCTCTTGCCTGGGAGTCATGGCTCTTGTATTTGCCATCAAGGTGAGGACTGCCATTCCTATGGGAGTGGGGGGGGGTGGGTGGGTATAAGGCAGTGGTTTCATGTATCTGATTTATCTGCATTGATCAAATAGTAATTACCCACTATTACTGCTTGGCTCTGGGCGTAGTGCCAGAAATAAGAACAAGGTATGGTTCCTATCATCAAAGGACCCATAGTATAATGAAAGAGATGGCAGTGAAATTGGGTAATTACTAGAATGTGGTTCATCAGTGCTAGGATAGAACCAGCATAGGATCCTCTGGGAGCCAGAGAGGATATATCTGTGTGATTATGTATGTATGGTAGAGTACTGTAAAGGCACCCTAGGGGAGGTGACACTAAAATAACCTTTAAGGACAAGTGAATAGGATGAAAGGGTATTCCAAGATAAAGGGAGCAGTGTGTACAAGGCCGGTACTATTCAGCATAGTTGGATCAGTGAAAAACAGAGGTGAAGCCAGAGGACCCAAATCCCACGGGTCTCTGATAAGTCCTGGGGAGACATTGAGGGGCTTTTGCAGGGAGAGTGACATGGTCAGAGTTGTGTTTTAGAAAGATCCACTCAAGGCCAACATGGAGGGTGAATTGGAGAGGCAAGGCTGAATGCACTTGAACAGTTAGGAAAGCAGTTTATTCACAGGCTACCTTAAATATCATGTTAGAATTTTCTGAACCCTATATTTATTTTTCTGGGTTTCATTAGGGTAAAATCATAAAAAGGCTCCTTAGTGATGAAAAAGATGAGGCCCACTGGGCTATGAATGAGGTAGTGTTTGATTGATGTGAGTGAAATACTCCAAGCTCCCTGTTTCAGTCTGGGATGAATAGGAAAAAATGGAGAATAAAAGAATTGGAAAGTACTTTCCCCTATGTGATCTTTAGCGCAACCTATAGCTCAAAAGAGTACTTTTCACCCTGAAAAGTAGGCAAGATACACTGGTTACCTTACTTTGCAGATGAGGGATGAGAGACAAACTAGAATGAGAAGTAGGGGGTTTGAGTGTAAAGTTTTGGGCTATGATGGGTAGGGAGGCGAGTGGGATAATGGGCACTTTGGGTCAGAAGCAGGGGGAGAACCTAACCAAGAACCTGTCCCCACAGGCGGAAGAGCGGCATAAGGCAGGCCGGTCCGAGGAGGCATTACACTGGGGGGCCAGGGCCCAGAGGCTCATCCTGGCCAGCTTTGCTGTCTGGCTTGCTGTCCTCATTCTGGGCCCCTTGCTGCTGTGGCTGCTCTCCTACGCCATCGCTCAGGCTGAGTGACCCTGAGTGGCCTCTGCTGAGAGCCAACCGAGACCTCCTGGATCCTGCAATGCGGCATTGCTAAGGTCCGGTGACAGCAGTGGTCCTTCTTGGAAGGATGGGGACTCTCAAGGGGCTGTGGAGCTCTTCTAGCCCTTTATAAAATGAGAGTAGCAGCTGAGATTGATGAGGGGAGGTCAGCCTGCTCTGTTCTTTCAGTGCCCGCTACCCCCTATCTCCCCAACTCCACCCACCCCATCCTAGGGGCCTCCACCCATAGGAGGGGTTGAAGACCAGGCCTAATTTTATTAGAGTTTGTTTTGTAATAAAAGCCTTTTTTAGTGGTGAAATGTTGCTGTCTAATTGTTCTTCCCCTGCTTTCCCTGGTCCCTTGTTGAGACCCAAACTGGACATCTGACTGATGGCAGAAGCCTGCATCTCACCTCACCTAGGAACTCCAAGAGGAGGAAATGATTTTTGTTTTCTTCTGAAAGTTTCTCTTCTTGGAAAGACTCCAACTTCTCCCTTTTACATCAGTAGAGACCCTGAGGCAGGGAAAGAAGAGTAGTAGCAAAAGATGCTGTTGTTTACTTACTGTATCCTAGGCTATTTTAAGCACTTTATATTTCTTCTTTAGTTTTCGTAATCATTCAATAGTAGTGACCATTGTTCTCATATTATAGATGAGGAAACAGACTCAGAGGTTTACTCAGTAAATGGCAGAGCTGAACCGACACAGTTTGGTTCCAGAGCTGAGAGAGGAGTGAAAGAGTTGGATAACAGCAACAACCACCCTATATATAGAGATTTATATGATTAGAATTAATTTTTCTATCTTTTATCTTGGGCCTCACAACATTTTAAACATTTTTTTAAATGGTGAAGTATAACATACAGGAAGGTACCTAAAACAAGTATACATGTCAATAAATTAACACAAAGTAAATATCTGAGTAACCACCATTCAGTCAAGAAATTGAACATTGCCATCACTCTAAGCCTCTTTTGTAACCATCCCAATCACTACTTCCTTTCTTCACATAGGTAAATATCATTCTTAATTTCTTTTTTTCTTTATTTTTTTTT